CTACGTCCGAGGTCGTGTGGGATCCTGGGGCTGGAGGCCGCCCTTTCCTCACAGTGGTTTCTGTGCAGTACCTCCCACAGCACACCTTCACAGCCGTCCCCCCCAGGTAGCCGGGGTTAGTCGTGTCCCCCTGCCACCCACCCCCAGGCTCAGGCCGGTCCACGTGGTGGGTCCGGCCCACCCAGCCATGGATACCTCCGGAGTCGGCTCTTGCTCTTTGTGGTTTCCCAGCTTGTTTTCTGTGCTCTCTACTTCCAGGGAGATGTGTCTCCAGCCTCCCCCAGAGTGCGCACTGCGGGGCCTCGCGAGAGGCCCTGTCTTGAATTCCCCCAGAAATTGCCATGGAGTCTCAGCCCTCAGCAGCGGAGCTAGCCTGGTGTTTCTGAGGACCTTAGGAGACGGAGAACTCACCTGAGGGCTAGCCTTGTGGAATCCCTGTACTGCTCACACCATCCCAGCTTGAAGATTTTTAGGACGGTCCTAGTGTCTTTCGGGCTGTGTTTGCCACAGCTGTCCGGAGCAGGATCTTGGCAGGCGGAACACAGAGACCTTGGTTTGTGATGCCAGTGAGGAAGAGAGATTTGTGCCTGCACTGCTGAGGTCCTCGACTGGCTCGATGGCCCCGGGGTATTTATGTGACGGCAGCTGTCCTTCTGTAGCTTCTCTGGGTCAAGAAAGGCTTCTGGGAAGGAGGGAGAGGAAGAAGGCAGCCAGGGGAGGAAGCGGAAGCTGTTGCCGGTTTGGGAAGTGACCCAGGCTGAGCACTTTGCCTGGACTAGATTCCGCAGGTGCAGTGGGAGCCGTGCATCCTCCGAGAACGTAAGATGTTCTTTTCTCTGTGGGACTAGGCGCTGCTGCCTGCCCGCCCACAGCCCGTATGTGTGTATCTAGGGACCTTTGCCCCTCGTATGCCATCCTGCTCGTCTCCTGCTGAGACAGCCAGCGGAGTCCTAAGGCAGCCCATCCCCAGCTGGGCACCTTGTCCCCGTCCTTCGTCAATCCCTGGACAGAGCTGCAGTCCTGTGCGTGCAGTTTCATTGGCTTGGGGCGGGGGAGGGTTTGTAATGAGCAGCCTTGTTCTTCTGGGGAGGGGTAATTCCCTGTGTGTCTGAGAGAGAGGGCAGACAGATACGCAGATAGGGCAGTGGAGTGTGGGAGACTTGAATGTGAGGAACTGAGGCAGGATCCAGGGCTGTGTTCTTGTCCCCACGCCTGAAGGATCCTGGGAAAGGCTCTTCTGTGGAACCGTCTATTATGTGGGGAATATGCATTCTGGAGAGGGAGAAGCCATCCTCATCACTGTTAATAAGTAGTGCTAAGAAAATACGAAACCATCCCCAGGGCTCTCCAGGCCTGGGAGATCCAGCCCGGGACTTGAGAGTTTCCAGCTCTGGGCTCTTCGGGCAGCACCTAGGATGGAGAGGCCCTGCCTTCCTCAGGCATTCCCCCACCCCAGCCCCCTCAGGAATGTGCCACTTTTATCTTGTACTTTGCTTCTACGCCAGGAGCATGGAATTCTGAGGCTGAGAGGGACATTGGGAGTTGGGCTGGACTGGGGGGTGTAGAGGAAATTGGGGAGTAGTATTTCTTTAAAGCACACGCAGCCTCCCTCATCCTTGCCACTACCTAAGCTGGGTTCTCGATCTGCTCATGGTCTTACGGGTTATAGTAAACTAGCTCATCTCCAGGGCCTCGGAAGAGGACTGATGTTTAAAATGAAGTGGAAAGCACAGCAGGGCAGCTCCCTGCCTCCTGCCCCCATCCCCGGGGGAGCCCTGCACTTCACGAGCGCCGGGTGCAGCCCACACTCATGAACAGGCATCCGTGCTTGGAGAGGGTGAGCATCAGGCTCCAGCCAGAACTGAGGGCAAACACTTCACCTTGGCCAGCCGACCTCTGGACAGCCTCTGAACAGGAGGTGAGACCCAGCGAGCAGGAGACTGGACACTCAGGGACGCAGAAGTGAGTCACTCGTTCAGAACTGTGTGGTCCAGGACCGAAGGTTACCTTTTGACTTTCCACTGCCCTTAGGCAGGACACTTCACCAAATCCAGACAATTTTATCACCTCCGAGGGAGATCACCTCGGCCATTAACAGAAGAGGTGCCTGTAGCATCCAGCAACTCTGAATTCTGGAGTTTCCCAACCTCACAATGTCTCAGCCAAAAACTAGGCCCACGATTTTACAGACCAGGAGACTGAGGGCCAGAGAGGGCATATGACTTGCCTCCTGGCTCCTAATTTAAGTTTTTCATAATGCGGGCCTTGTGCTGTAACACCTGTTTGGTCCTTTAGAGAAGGAGCAAATGGCCCACTTCTCTCCAAAACGGGGCTCAGTGTGTGGTGTGCTGAGGACTGTTATTTATTTGGCCTGCTGGTAATGACAGCTCGTCACCTACTCGCCCCAATCTGAGGAGGAGCCCTGGGCTGGAATTTCCTGTTTTCTGAGGGCTCCGGGGGCTGCCCCAGCAGGCTGACTCCCCTGCCGCCGGCCGCTGCCCGCCGCCGTTCCAGGGTGTTCCAGGCCGGGCTTTGCCGCCTCTCCTTGCTGGGCCGGCTCCGGGCCTCTCCAGGTCTGGGCTTGCCGGCTGCGAGGTGGAAGCGTTGAGGGACTCCGTCGGCCCGACACCAGGTGCCCAGAGGCCGGAGGTCCGTGCGCCCCGGCCGCGGCCCCGGCCCGGGCCCAGCCCCGCGCCCCTCGCCATGGGCCTGGCCCTCGCCCGCGGGCCCTCTTGTCCTTTATTATTATTTTTTTTTTTTGAGATTTTATTTATTTGAGAGAGAGAGAATGAGAGAGAGAGAGCACGAGAGGGAAGAGGGCAGAGGGAGAAGCAGACCCCCCGCCGAGCAGGGAGCCCGATGCGGGACTCGATCCC